ATAGAGAAAATATTTCAATCGATAAAACTGATTTTAATTATTGATCGATGAAATGAAATATTTCACGAATGAATGAAACATAATAAATAAAAATAAATAAAATATAATCAATCGGGAAAAAGAGTTGTAAAAGAATAAAAGAAAAATCTGTTTACGCGAGAAAATATAGTAATTAATAAATTCAATATTGAAACAGCTTTTTCTCGCAAAAAAAAAAATAAAAAGAAATCAAATCAAACCATTTTTAACATCGCAATCTCGTTTATTTGTTCGTACGGGAAAAAAGTAAACCAAAGATTTATTAATTAAAAAAAAAAGGGAATGCGTTTGAGACAAAAGGAAAACAAAACACAAAACAAAAAGAGAGAGATTAAAAGAGCACATAAAAAAAGTAAGTAGAGTAACGTTAAATGACTCTTCTCGAGATATTCCATATATACTACTGTCAGTCTCATACACCAAACACATATACACAAACAAACACACTCAAAACACACAGACACATTGTTTTTACTGTCCTCCTACATTATATAAGAGTTTCGACATTCGATGATGGATAACGCGCGAAGATCTCAATTTCAAATTGTTCATAAATATCAATTATTATATATTTATGAATGATCGATAACCAAACTAAGAAAAAAAAAAAAGAAGAAAAAAAAAGAAAAAGGAAGAAAAAAAAAAGTAATGACTACACAAACACGTTGAGAGGCAGTTTTCGTCGTTGGAAAAAGAAGAAGAAGAAAAATATAAGAAAAAAAAAGAAGAATCTCTTGGAATTAAAATCCCTACAAAAAAAAAAAGGGTAACTAGCTTACGAGATGAGAAAATAAAATAAAAAAGTAAAGAAAAGACGAGAGAAGAAAATAGCAGCAACACAGCAGCAGCAGCAGCACACGTCCCGATCGACTTAAAAAAAAAAACTTATTCTAAATATTTCTTCACCGAAACTTAAATCAAAATTTGGTCCGAGGCTAAGGTCGAAGCATCTACGAAACCACTGCCAGAATACTTTCTAAATGCTTCGCGTTTAACCAAAGACGCGAGATGCTCATTTTTCTACATGCATTGTGTGTCGTTTTAGAAGAAAAAAATTAATTAATTAATTAATTAATTAATTGAATAAATATATATATATATATATTAAATGATTAAATAAAATCAAGTAAAACCGTAAATATATATATTGTACACGTTATAAATACACTTACGTATACAACACACGCATACATAAATACAATACATACAAATGTAATAATTGCGTGCATAGTTGCGTACGTGATTAAAAAAATTACATAAAAAAAATAATAACACACCACACACGCGTAACATTAAATGAAAGAAATAAAGAAAAAGAAAAAAAAGAAGAACTAAAAAGAACTATTATCGCTTAATAGGTGAATTTAGAATAGCCTAGGGGTTAGCCTGAGCTAGAATAATGCAGAAAAAAAAAAAAGGAAAAAAAAAAACTTACAATTAGATATATCGTATTTGATAATAGTCTCATACGGAAAAACAAGAGAGTAATTTAAAATGCATTTTTCTTGTCGACTGATGAAGGTGGGTTCGTTCCCAATTATTCCAAATAATAAAAAAAAAAAAAGACATACTCTCGATTTATCATACGCGCAACAAGAAAAGAAAAGAGAAGAACAGAGGAGAAAAAAAGAAGAAGAAGAAGAAAGTTGATATAAAATAAAAATAAAAAAGAACAAAAAAATACAAAATAAAAAACTAATATCCTATAATCGCGTTTGTACTGTTCAAGGCCTATCGGTCAAAAATTCGCACGATTATTTACACCCAATACCATGTAAATTACATTTACACACACACACACCATACCACATATACACGCACACTCGCGTACACAGAGCCAAATATACGAACTTTATCTTTGCGAACGAATAACACCACACAAGTGTTAAATTAAAAAATGATGAAGAAGAGTAATATAATAACAAATTTAAATAAATAATAACAAATTTAATAATTACGATTCCCGAGATGTTGCATAAGTGTGAACGTAAGAGAAAAAAAACTGTAGAAGTGGAAGATAATTAAAAACAATTGAAAAGAAATAAAACGAACATGAACGGACAAAGAGAAAGGACCCGATGCCAAAAATAATAAAAAAAAAAAAAAGAAGAAGAAGAAGAAACAGAAAAATATTATGGAAAGAAAAGAAAGGTGTGTTGTTTCGGGGATGGGGGGTGGGGTGTTGAAGGGATCGATATTTAAGAAAGAAAAAGAAAAACCTTGGACTTTCATCGAAAGTTAGTATATATATATATATATATATATTAGCATTGTAATTAAATTGCATTATGTGTGCCGTATAACATGTGTGTGTGTTACGTTTCATGGATGAAAGATAATTGAAGAGCCATGAATAAAATGCATCCAGTTTATTTTTTTTTTTCTCTTAGATAGGCACTATCCAATGTAGAGTACTTCTTAATTCTATGAAAGACGAAGAAAAGGAAAAATGAAAAAAAGAAAATAATTCGCGAAAGTTAAAAGGAAGAATTGATTGAAATGAGATTAATTTGATTGATTGATTGATTGATCGAAAATTAATATTGAAGAGAAGATAATAAAGAAAGTGGAAAGTGAATTCTTTTTAAAAAAACCAAAAAAAAAAGAAAAAAAAACGAAAAATCTCGTAGTACCAAAGTTTGATGTACTCTAAATCCACCGATTATATTAAATGTGTACCTAATTCTGTGTGTCCACTAAAGATGAAATAAAATATACATATATATATATATGTGTGTATGTATTTACAACGCATTATTACATACACATATATACATATA